CGTCCGGAGCAGGGTGCGTGACTTCAGCACTCTGGACAGTGCCACGCACCCCCCCTCCCCCCCGCCGCCGCCCCAGGCCAGGGAAGCGGCAGGCCTGGGGGCGGAGCCTGAAGAAGCGGCCTATTAAAAGCCGCGCGCCGCGCACAAAGGGCTCACCCAATAGGTAGGAGCTTGAGGAACTGTCCAATTGGGAGCGTTGGAGCGATGACGCACCGAACGACGTTGAGAGGCAGAGCCTGTGGAAAGCCTCTAGGCGGAGCGGGGATTGTTGATCGGCCCTGTTGAACTTGCTCAAGAGGCGGTCCTAAGAGCTTGAAAGAGGTCATTTTCGAAAAGGTAATTTGGAAAAACCGATCCTTGGATGGTTTCTGCACCCAAGTGGAAGCCGGTGTACTTTCCCAGGTTGAAAGTCTCAGTGAATCCCCCAACCCTTCCCTCCATGGGGTCGATGCAACTGTGCAGAAGAGCCCCCAAAACTGGAAGTAGGGGGTTCTCCTTACGGGGTAGCTACTACGGTTCTCAGATGCAGAACGGCAGGAGTTGGGTTTGCTCTGGAGCGGAGTTAGGGGTACACCTCCGACGTTGAAATAGAAGTCCTTGCAGCCTCGGGATCGGGTCGGTTGTCCCAGGAGCCGGGACGATGTTTTCCCTGACTCATTCAGACAGGGTTGGGACCAGTCCTCGTGTTCTAGTCTCAGCCCCCACAGCCTGGTGCCAGGCCAGCTTTTTGGGAAACACCAGAAAGGCCACGGACTAGGACTTCCGACCTGTGTGGAATGACCTCTATGGCCACTGCCTGGACATTCCGGCCTGTCTCCCCCACAATAGAACAGAGTAGTGAGCCTGGACCCCTCTCCTTATCTTGGTCCAAGATAATGCATCACTCTTTGTCCCAGTCAGCTGTTTAGGATATGCAGTTTTAACCCCTCTTGGGTCTGGAAGGTGGTCCCTCGCAAAGTCCAGCGGACTTTGACCACAGCATCACTCTGAACCTCAGCTCAGTTGTTGCAGAACGGACCTTTTTGTCGGTCTCTCAGCTCTGTTTTCACCTCTACCACAGGTTCTTTGCCCAATATCCCAAAGAATTGCTCTGGAGCATGTTCTTTCTAGCTCAGAATCTTTCCACGGCTCTCTGTTGTCCTCAGGATGAAGTTGAAAACTCCTCTGCTTGCCAGTCAAGCCCCTGCACTGGATGGCTCCAGGCTTACATCAAGCCACACTTCTCCCTTTTCATGAACACAATGCTCACTCACCTGAGTATAGCTCCTTGAATTACATTCACACCTCCCAGAATTTTCTGAGCATGTCAGTCCCTTGGCTAATCCTAAATACACCTTTTGGTCCCACTCAACCACATTGTCTCACTCCAGACATAGAATGCCTTCCCCTAACACTCCACCCAAGCTGGGAGGGGCCCTCTTCGTGCTTGGAAGCTCCTTGAGGGCTAGGACCAGGTTCACTGCCATATTCCCAGCGCTGAGTACACGGCTGAAACATACGCAATACCCAATAAATACGTTATGTGAATGAAACAAATAAGCACAGTAAATTTTCATTTATTCTGGAGTGGGTTAGAATGAGCATTTCAGCCAAAAATGCGTGCTGCATTGCTGCACAAAATTGTGTCCAGAGGTTTTAGAACAGGCCTGTGAAGGGAAGGAAGAGCCCCATAAGGCTCACACCTGGACACTAAATCCTGAGGGTGGACAGCCCAGCTGACTACACCAGAACAGGCTAATGGTCAGAGAGAGAACAAATGAATGTTTCCCTGTTAGGGTAGAGGGTAGTCGGGCAGCTCAGACTGCACCTAGGCACAACCAGGGCCCCGGTGACTGCAAATCTAGAGAGGCGTATGTCCCTGATTTTTGTCTCCACCATTGCTACTAAAGGCCCTCTTTCGTTGGAGGTCACTAGTCCCCAGTACTTACACCCTGTGACCAGTTCAAATTCCTGGCAAGGCCCTGTCCTTCCCTGTGACATCATCTCTTACCACCATGAGGTGTTAAGTCATAATACTTTCTCCCTTCCTACCTTCCCTCCAAAAGCACCTTTCCTTCAGGGTGGTGTCTGGTCCCAGGTCATTGACCCCCACGGCCTATCCAACCAAGTACCCTGTCCTGATCAACTTGCTAAGGGTGTGGGCCACCAATCGATCCTTGTGCTGAGGCTCCTGGTGCTGTCTGCTGGTGACTCAAGGACACACCATCCTCCAGCAACACATGGGCCAACGTGTCTCTCCATAAGCCAGCTGTTGCCTACCATGGCCATGGCTGAGGAGGAGCTGGAGACCACCTCCTCCACACTGGCCTCCAAGGCTTAGAGGGCAACAGGCCTGGGAAAGCTTGGATCAGCTCTGAAGAGGTGAGGTGTGAGCAGCAAGCCCTTCTCCATGCTAAGGTGTAGCCACATCTTGCTGAGTCCACCTTCCTGTGGTGGTAGGTCCCAAGGGCTGGGATACTGTCCATGGTCAGCCGCATCACAGCCACCAAGGTCCCTGAGCAGAGTCAGGGTGACGAGGGATCTGTGATCACAAGTGGGCTCCTCAGGCAGATACTCACCTTGCTGAAAAGATGCTGTTGGCTCTGTGCTGCCCACACCTGACTACAGTAATCCTAACTGTGGTTGACAAGCTTCCAGGGCTATGGCACCAATGGAGGGTAGAACCTTTACCCAGCCTTGTACTGGGTTGAAGTGTTTCCCCAAACAGGTCTGCCCAATTCCCAACCACCAATACCTGTGAACCTAACTTTACCTGGGAACATATCTTTTTAGATTCTTTTTCAAAAAGGATCATGGCAAGAATGCATCCTAGACCAGGGTGCGCCCAAATCCAGTGACTGGTGTCCTTACACAAAGACTCACAGGAAAAGTTCATGTGAAGACACAGGCGGAGACTGGCATGATGCTGTCACAAGCCAAGGGATGCCTGGAGCCACCAGGAGCTGGAGGAGGCAAGACGGCAATCCTGCTTCTTCCCAATAAACTTGTCCTGACTGTGGGAGGGACTCGGTCAGGCCTCCATCAAAGATAAGCCACCCGGGCCCCAGCCCTTCCCCCAAGAGAGGGCCATGGCAGCAAGTCCCAAGTCCCTGAAGACGTTGTCACCACAGGGACATCTTCCTCCGCTGCCTTCTTTGATCTTGAGATGGTGTCCCTTGTGGTGTCAGCATCCAGAAACGTGAATGGTGGCGGCGGATGCTGTTGGGAAACCCACGGTGAAACCTGTGTGGAGAATGCAGGTCCAGAGCTAAAGTCATGTGGCAGGCGGCACAGGAGTGTTCCTCGCCACGGACTTCTGAGTGACACGGCTTCTGCCCACACCTTTATCATCTCAAGCACAGGATCCCAGGGATCTCGTGTGGGTCTCTCTCGGTGGAGCCCCTGAATCGATCTCCACTAGCACATATACTGAAGGGATACCAGGGCACTTCAGGCCCCATTCCCCAAGCTGGACCATTTGATATCCAGAGCCTCCTCTGCTCTGGCAGTTGACAAAATTCTTATGATGTTTTTTTTAGTGCAATCACCTTTCCTTCACCTCCCCAAGGAGGCAAATCTTTATCCTCTGAAGGCATGCTGGATGGTTTCTGCCTCAGTTGAGTGACTCTGCATCAAGAATGGTTCACACTTCTTCCAATGGCCAAGGTTAACCAAGCGTGGGAGGCCAGGCTGCCACCTGGGGCTCAGAACATGAACAGTACACGGTCTAAGAGTGGAGAGGCAAGACTAGATGGGTTTCTGCAGACAGGCAGTCCCAGGCCTCACCGAGGAGCTCCTTCCAGACAGGCAGGTAACACCACTCTCTCCCTGGGGCAGGGCCGGAGTTGAGAAGGGCTGCTTGGGGAGGGGGGTGGCCACTCCTCCATCTGCACATTGATAACCCCTAGGTGACAAATGTCTCCCAAACACTGTGCAAATGCCCAAGATGGAGAGGCATCCCAAAAGTGTACTCAGTGGGACAGGCCCCAGGCAGGGGCTGCTGGAGTCACGAAGTGCCCTGCTTGCAGCGATGGTTCTGGGGCTGCATTCCCCAGATCTTGGGAACCTTCAGCCAGATTCAGCTGGGCTTCTTCAAAGTCGGCTATGTGTACTGACGTACGGGAATCACCTTACTCCACAGTGATTTGAAATTGCACTTAAAAACTCCATTAGAATTCATGGAGTAGAAAATAAACCCTGCCCAATTATGTGTGAGCAAAACCCAAACAGCAGTGTGGGCCTCTGGGAGCTGCCCTGCAGGCCGTCGGGAGTGCAACGGAGGTTACGGAGTCGCTGCAGCACCGGGTGTCCAAGCTCCCAGGACACTGGGTCGCTGGCCCTGGACCTCTCTGGTGACCAGGAGCTGCACTGCCCCCACACCCTGCCTTCCTGCACTGGGAACAGGGTGGCAGCACCCTGCCCATCCTGCTGCGGGTGAGCCAGACACCCAGGGCTACGACGGGCGCAGAATTTTGTTTTTTCTTTATTTGTCTACATTCAGCTCAATTCAGATGTACTGCCTGAATGATGCAGACATACCAAAAAAAAAAAAAAAGAAACCCCACTCTTTCCCACTGGTTTTTAAAATAAAATCTTCACTTATAAAACTGAAACACTAAAGCATTAAAATACAGAAAGCTCGTTTAACTCACTTCACAAAAGCATTAACAGATGACGTATCCCTTCCGTGACTATTTAAAGACAAACTGAGTTAACGCTAACACCAATCGTAAATAGACAGAGGGATACTTAACTGCAAGAACTCAAAAAACTCTACTCAGACAAAGTTGTAATGGCAACTAACAAACCATTGAAGACACGGAGTCCCAAACACGGCTAAATATGGGTCACAGGACGGGTCACGGGGGTGACCAGCTGCACCTCACGACACGGCAACGTGGACAGGGGAGGGCGGAGGGGCCTGGAGAGGCCGGCTGACATGTTAACTGTGATGCATAAAACTGAATCTTACAATGGGAGGGTAAGTGCAGAAGGTACAAATCTTCACCCCCTCGGGGGCTTTATCTGTATTGATAGTTCATGCTGTGGTCTGCGTTTCTGCCATAGCCCCCTTGTGATGACTGGTAGGAGCTGGGAGGACCGCTGTAATTCTGGCCGGACCCTGGGGAGTTGTAGTTCGACTGTGATGAGTAGCCTCCTAAGGGAGAGAGGAATGGGTCAGAAGTGAGGGGCATGAGGCCCACCCCACGGTCAGTGCTCAGGCGTCAGACAACACTAGACAGAGCTGCATCTGTTCACGAGATACAGCAGCAGAGCAGCCCTGGAAGCGCCACTTTGTTAAGTGCCTTTCCACGGTCAGTGGGTCTGGTTTTCACATGAGCCCTGAGAGGTGGGGCCATCAAGCCGGGCTTACAAGGGGTAGGGATCTGCCATCACACATGCATCAGCCATGGGAGCTGTAATGGGGGACTGCCTGAGCCAAGGCTGAACTCACCACCCCCAACCAGAGTTCACACAGCAGGCTGTTTGGCCCTCACTGTTCTCAGCATTTTCCCCTGCTGGTGCCAACATTTACAAGTAGGGCAATTTCTGGACTTCCCTATTGGGGGCAGGGGGCTCAGGTTTGATCGCTGGTAGGGGAGCTAATATCCCACATGCTATGTGGCCAAAAAGTTTTAAGAAGTAAAATAAAATTGGGTCTCAAAAATGTCTGGCTCTGGAAGCCAATGCTTGAGGTGTGCGCAAGCCTAGGTTCTCAGAAGTCCCGTGTGAGACCCTGTGACCCCCGTGCCTGGTTTTCACCCCACACGGAAGCCACGTGGCAGCTGCCACCACAGCCCCACCTGTGCTACTCCCCGCACAAGCCAGGCCACACCACTCCTCATGGGGCCCCCATGGGCCCCATTGGCTCTGAGTTTAAGCCTCCCCTCGCCCCACTGCACCACCTGCTTCCCCAGGCCCACCTTGTTTGCCTTGGTATGAGGAGCCACCCCCAGAACCTCCGTAGCCCCCGTGTGACCCTGGATTGTAGGACGATCCGCCTGAGCCGTAGCTGTTCCCGCCGCTTCTGCCTCCACTACCACTGTAATCTGGGGGAGAGAAGACAGTGTGGTTAAGGGCTGTGGCCACGGCGTGGCTGGGGCGCTCCAGGTTTTTTGTGCTGTAGCCCTGGCAGTGGCAGACCCTTGGTTGAGACCCTAGGCCTTCTCAGGAATCCCTGTCTTAACTGTTTAAACCTGGCAACCAGTCCAACCATGAAGTGCCAGGGGGCACTGGAGTTCTGAAATGTCACCACATTCTGAAGCCCAATTCCATCGTGCCTGCTCCAAGCCTCTTCCCTTCTCCCACTCAGCACCCAGCAACCCCTGCCGGGACCACTCACAGACAGCACGGCTTCCTGAAGGACAGCCCAAGGATGCCCCGAGTCTTGTCGTGCTGTCTGCACAGGAGGTGAAGAAGGGGGCAATAACTGAGGATCTGCTGGGGGCTGTCTCCAGAGCCTAGCCCTGGAGCCGAGCTCATAGCAGCTTGCCTGGCCTCACAGGCTTTATCTATTTTGGTGACCCAGCCTCTGGAACCGTGGAGAAGGCAACAGGGAGGGGACAGCAAAGACTCAGACTGGGAGATTCATATCCAGGGTTTTCCTAATGCCTGCCCTGTAGCCAGCATCGCTCGGCTCTCCACCATGCCTGGGGATGTGCTCTGCCAGCCAACTCACTGAATTTGCTCTCGTAGCTGTAGTCGGATCCACCTCCGCCTCCAGGGGAGCCGTAGGAGTTGGAGTATGAGGAATAGTTGCCTTGTCCATGATTGTAGCCTTTCTGCTTGCCCTGCGGGGGCCCGTAGTTGCTGTACTGGCTCTGGCTGTAGGACTGCTGCTGGCCTTGGTGGGGCTGGTAGCCGGAGCCATATGAGGGCTTCTGTTGGCCGCCGTGCGGCTGCTTCTTCCCGGCATGTTTTGGGGGCACTGGGGAGTTGTAGTTGTCACCTTGGTAGTAGGAGCCGTAGCCAGAAGAGCCACCACCGCCCCCGCCGCCGCCACCACCGGCATTCCCCGAGTGCCCTCCGTTGCTGTAGAACTGACCTAAACAGGAAGGTAGCAGGTCAGGCGGAGGAGGGGGAGACGGGGAAGGGCAGGAGGGGGGCGGTCGCAGCTGTGGGCCCTGAAGGCTGACCCACAAGCCCATGGCCCAGGCCGGGACAGAGGGACGGAGGCAGGACAGCGAGGAGTGGTGGCTCCGGTCCATCAGGCAGCCTGGTTGGGGCTGGCCCCAGCCTTCAGCTCCACTCACCCATCAGCTGATGACAACAATGGATCTTTGCCAAGCAGCGGCACGACAGCAGGCCGACAGCAGCTTTTGCGGCAGATGTCAACATTATAGTGAGATGGGCTCCAAGCGCGGGATGACATTCACGACTAGCTTGCTGCTACCCAGATGTCCCCAACAGTGACAGGAAAAGCAAAGCCCCACAGAAGCAGCCAGCTCCCACCTTGTCCTCCTCCCCTCACCCCCCAACTCCCCGCTGTGCTGGGAAGAGGCTCTGCAGTCCAAGCCCTGGGTGACCTCAGGAGATATTCTGTAATGACGCCCCTAAAGCCAAAGCCATTCATGGAAGACTAGCTGGTCTGAACAATGACTTGGGATGTCTCCCGGGTGTGACTTCCACAGCCTCGAGGGGAAATGAAACACCAGAGTTGGGTTCCCGACGCCCAGGTGAGGCCTCCCACAGGGTACCCCCCTCATTCCCAGCACAGCTGCCGGGCACAGGCGGGACCCAGTGGCAGGACTAACAAGTGTGCAGCGAGGCCACCACATTCTCAAGCCCTGAAGCAGAGAATGTCACGATGGATACCCGCCTTCCCAAGCTGGTCGCTCGGTATAGACCCTGGTTTGTTAACAGACCCCAACACTCAGATGGACCCATGGGGGATGGGCCTGATAAGGCAGAGTGATGGAAGGCGGAGGTCAGGTCATGTGGGTGGCTCCCCGACCCAGCCGGGCAATCCCCAACATTCACGCAGGGGCAGCGGAGTCCCTGGGGCAGGCAGACCCGGGCACACTACTTCTGGTTGGCTGCTGCCCGACACAGCCAGCCATTGTGTGTGCCCAGGATAGGGGAGGTGGAGGAGGGAATGTTCCCACACACCCAGTCCTTCCCATATTTAGCAGCAATGGTCTCCAGTCTCTTGAATGAGGTGAATCTGGGAGTTCTCAAGGACCTTCCACCCACTGCAGATAAACACCTCGTACCACTGTGTCTTGGGTGGTTCGGACAATAATTTGGATAGAGCTAATCTGCCACATAACTTAATTTCCTTAAGACCCTTTTCCACTCAGCCCACCAGAAGGCAGAAACACCAGGGAGAAGGCTGTGTCCCCGATGCAAGAGAGAAAACACGCGAAGGTTCCTGGAGGAGGGGCGGTACCCCCTTGAGACGCCCACCACCTCAGCTGCCCACAGTCTGCACTGAGCGCCTCCTCACCCCTCCGCCAGCGTGGGGATGAATGAAGACGCCAAGGACTGAGGGCTTGTTACTTTAACATGTATTGATTAAAAAAAAAATAATAAAGGGAAGGGAAAGTTTTCAACTTTCAGGATATTCAAATTTCAGGATAACTATTTCCTGGTATAAAAAGACATTATTCTCAAACAATAACGTTCTAAAAAAAAAAAAAAATACATCATGCAATCAAAGTTTCACTGAATGTTTCAAACCCCTGGGAACAAACTACGGAGTAACCGTTTTGACCAGTTTTTTGCCTGAATAAACGCAAAATCTTGCAAGTCAATGTGGAGGCAGGCTTTGCTGCAAGAACTATTGATCAGAGCCAAAACTATACTCGTTCCCAAGGACTCCCGCCAGGAAACGAGGGTCTCATTCAAGAGCCAGAATGCCTCGGTGCACCTCTACTTGCAGGGAGACGCCCCCAGCTCAAGACTGCAACTTCGGGGGAGAGGGCAGTAGCTTTCCAGGCTTTCTGGAACCTGTCATGGGAGCAGGCTGGCAGCACAGGGCCTGCTGGGGGCTTGGCTCCTCACAGGAGAATTAGGCGCTATGTATTAGGCTCTTTCTACTTGGATATTTTTAAAGCCCCATTTAAAAGAAAAAGGGAAAAAAAAGAAAACTTCTTAAGAATCCCATGCATTTGCAGCAATGATTAGGACTTGCAAAATTCTACGTTCTCATTTCCTTAAAGCCTGTCTGTTTCTTGCACTAAGAGTGGAAGCACAGTTTTGATACCTTTGAGAGTTCACCTCTAGCTAAAGCAGCCACAGAATATCGCACTCCGGAACAAGAACCCACCAGAGCAGTTACAAAATATGGAAGAGGTTAACTTAGCACAATGTACAATTCCCCAACGTTCTCAATGTTTCACATGCTTATGGAAAAAAAAAGCAGATTGCTCTGGATTCGGATGTGGTGAAACTGTTACTGTCAAAGGCATCAAAGAGATTTGGGGATTTGTTAAAAGGTTAAAAATTCATACAAAACCTGCTGTAAATTAAGACAAAGGTAGATTAAAATGCATTATTATCTGTCTCTTAAATAAAGTAATGCTTTCCATAAAAAGCAAAGGTGGGCTTTTGCCTTGATGCTGACCAACGCTGGCTCTAGAATTCTGTGCAGTTCTGCACAAAAACGCATTCTCTGAAAAATTGTTTTCCACTTATTGTGAACTTCAATAGGACCAAGTTCAAAGGCAAATCACGATAAAAACTGCCATTGTCTTAAATTCTGCAGGCTAAGAGTTTCAGACAAGCTGCGGTGACAAGCCACGGTTGAGAAACCCAGTGAAGCACAGGGCACAGCACGGACACTTTGGGTTTTGGAGTTCGAGAAAATTGGAGTAAAAAGTTGATTTTGTGTGCAATACTTTTAGATGCTCTAGGAAGACCCAAAATCATGATAGCCGTAGCAGTCTGTGAAAAAGTCACCTACAAAAGGGGGAGACAGAGCAGAGAAAAAAAATTAGAATTCTTTTGAAAAAGGGCACAGAGCGCCACATTTGAAATTCATGTTTTAGATTTCTCTGCTCCTGTAACCCCCCAATGAAGGCTCCTTCTCAAGACAAGAGCTGTGCACTGTCAGGAAAAGCGTATTCACAGGTTTGGTGCTTCGCATGGCTTAAAGCAGAGAAATTTAAAATTTTGACTTTTAACCAATTTGCTAGTTATACAAATGTGAGCCTTAACACTTAGAGAGTAAATTACGCTTCTGCAGCATGGGGGCGCTGGAGGACCACTTGCCCTAACACCAAACACAGGTGCCAGCCGCCCATGAACCTCAGGGAGACTGCTGCTGCTAATGCTGCTGGGCCACCCTGCTCTAACTCAGGGCACGGGAGCTAAACTGCAGCTTCTTCCCAAGCTCAGACAAAGAGAAACACGCACTTACTGTAGCCAGCAGTCGCTGAGTTGCCTCCATACCCGTAGCTGCCATACCCGGCACCTGGAAGGGAATGGACAGGGTCACCAGGATGGGAAATGGGTCTGCCCCACCCCTGCCTCTTTCTGCATCTCAGTGAGTCCCCGGGGCAGGGTGGGGGTGGGGGGTCCCCACCCACTGCAGGGAGCAGGCCAGGCCCCTGGGGACAGTGCAGGACAGGGTCCTCACCAGCATTCATGTAGCCTCCATGGTTGGCACCACCGAATCCTCTCCCTCTCCCTCGACCACGGATGTTCCCTCCTCTTCCCCGTCCTCGGAGGTTGGGGGGTGGGGGCACTTCATTGTGCATGGGGCCCCCCATGCCAAACCCAGGGTTATGTGGCTGGATGGGAGAGAAGACAGACAACTTACATTTATCTCCCACTCAAATGATCAGAGAACACCCACCAAGGAGAGAGCACCCGAAAAGTTCAGGGCTGAACACTCACCTTAGCAGCAAATTTTGGGCCACCTCTCACAGGTACAGGGGCTCTCTTCTTCTTGTTGGCCTCCAGGGAGAGAGGGGCGTCAGGGAACAGCTTTTCTAGTGCAGCCAGGGCAGCATATGCTTTGGCCACCTTTTTGTTTGAGCCAGCACCCTGAAATTTCTGGCCATCCACCTCGACCTGGGGAGAACAGATGTGTGTCAGGGTTGACCCAACACTGCCTTTGGGGTGGGGGTGTCTCCTAAGACCCCAGGCCCCCACGGGAAGCAGCGCGGGATCACTCGCCTCCATGACGAAGCGTTTGTCGTGGCTGCCGCCCGTCTCTGAGATGAGCTCGTACTTGAGGCCGCGCCTCTTCTCGTTGAGCTCCATGACAGGGTTCTTGCCATGTTTGGTCAGGATCGGCCCCTGCTGTTTTACGTTCTCAGGGAAAACAGAAAAGAGCACCGACAAACTCAGCTGAGGTCTCTTCCACAGGCGGCAGCCGCCCCTGCGTTAACGGTCTGAGGTCCTCCGCTCCACTCACTCTGCTGCCCGCCCCGCTGGAAATCACCTGTGGGCTTGCCAGCAATGGGACCACCTCCACCCACACCGTCTCTCTCAGGGAAACAGCCTAGCCTTGACTACAGGCCTCCCAGGCGCCGCCCCCGACGTTGGGTCAACACCAGCACAGGCCTCGACAGCGCACACTTCCACTCCCTCCACAGGGCCCGGGACTGGAAGGCTGTTACGCTTCTGGAGGAAGAGAACGAGGACCAGTGCCTGTCCTTGTTCAGGGGACCCCGAGACACTCCTGCGGGGCCTCAGAGCACCCACCCTGTGCTCACCTCGGTGGTGGGGTCCGAGGGGAAGGTGGCACTGGGGGTCGAGACGGCCTCCACCACAGGTGGAGGGGCCACCACGGCGGGCTTCGCCTCTGCCTCCTCAGCTGAGTCCTCCCCTTTGCTGGAGTCTCTGCCTTCAGCACCCGTGGGCAAGCCCATGTCTTGTAACACCTGCGGGGGGGGGAGACCCCGTGTCCCCAGTGAGGAAGGCCTCACCCAGACAAGCACTCTCCCACATCCAGCATCCTGAATCAGCAGCTCTTACGGAGCATCCAGCCAATTGGAGGCACTTTCCTGAGGCTCCCAAGACCACCAAATGCCCACCCACATTTGGAGGCCCTGTACCCATCAATGACGGCATTCTGGCCGTGTGTGACTTGGCCACTGGTCAGGCCTCTGTTTCAGTGTTCCCATTCCCTCCCTCAGCCTCGTGCTTAAACAGGGGGCAGTGGCTCTTAAGGCGCACAAAGCTGAGGGAGGCACTTCACCATTCCACCACACTGCTGGCCACACTCACCTTCACAGCCACGTGCAGCTTGGCAGTCTTTTTGGAGGGCCCAGAGGCCTCGAAGGAGCTGCCGTCCACCTCCACTGACATGGTGAAAATGGGGGCGTGCACTGGACCGGTCTGGGAAATCAGTTTGTACTGCAGCCCCGGTTTGAGCTGGTTCAGTCTCATCAGGGCGTTCATCGCTTGTGGAGGCTCTGCCTTCTCCTCTAGAAAGAACATAGCAATGCTGCTCTACAATGCCAGTCAATTCTGACCCCGACAGGGACACTCTTCTGACTGCCCGCCCGCCTGCCACATACCACGTGATGGACTGGGCAGGAGACCAGGTGGCCACATGTGCTGAGGGCCTGCCTGCCCTGCTATCCAGACACATACCCTGACTGTGGTCACCAGCTGAGGTGCATCCATCTTAATTGTGTTCCATGCCCATGCTAAGTTTAATCAATCCCCTTCATGGATCACAGCCTTGTCGTGGCGAAGGAGCTTGCATAGCTCAATGAAGCTATGAGCCATGCCATGCAGGGCCACCCAAGATTGATGGGTCATACTGGAGTTCTGACAAAATGTGTTCCACTGGTGGAGAGACTGGCAAACCACTCCAGTATTCCTGCTGTGAGAACCCCTCCAGTATTCCTGCTGTGAGAACCCCACAACCAATCATTCTTAAAAGGACTTCCACATCACATCCGAGAAGAATACAACAAAAGCAGGTGTGTCACCACTTTGGGCTAAACCTTCAATGAAGCCAGATGGCGGCTTAAAACAAGGACTGCGTGTGAATGCTTGTACCTTTTTTCTGAATCTTCTTCTTCTTTTTGCTAGGAGACTTTTCCTCTCCATCTTCCTCCATCGGGCGTTTCATGGGCGTAATGGCGTAGGTGGTGCTGGGGGGTATTTGAACTGAAACAAGACGAGGACGGCAGCACCTGAGACTCTAGCCTGTCCTCTGCCGGGAGCCCATGATGACATCGCCACCTGGGCCCAGGCCCCACGGCCTCCTTACCCGTATAGTCCACTGGGTTTTCATTCTTTGGTTTCTTGGGCATCTTAGATGGCAGAGGGTCCATACCAAGTACTTTATGGAGCTGGCCGAACGCAGCTAGTCGCAGCGCATGCTGGAGAAGGGGAAGAGGAATCTGACTGAGCCGCCCTGCACTCCCAGCCCTCATGTGTGCGCTCACTAATACCTCCTGGAAAGGGTGGGAGCTGAGGGGGTTGCTAATGGTCTCCCCTATGACAGCAAGGGGTCCTCCGCCAGCCAGGGGACGGCCTGATTGCCAGGGCCCAGCCTTGCTGTGGGGGAAGGCCAGCCTGTGACCACCCCCCTCAAAAGAATACAGGAGACCCCAACCTGGGGACTGGTTGCCACACGGAGCCACGGGGTGGGCCTGCAAGGGAAGGACCCCTGGAGCAGTCCACATAGCAAATACGTCTCCCCGCTGAACTCGGGTGTCTGAAAACGGCACTCGAGCAGGCCAAGGGGGGGCAGGTGACAACCTCGCGTGGCGCCAGGGGAAAGAAGCAGCCCAGGTTGGGGCGCCCTGTATCAGGCCCGAGCCCCTGACCTTCGGGCCCCAAGCTGAGCCTACCCTTAGAATACCCAGTAACGGAACTGGAAGCCAGTGATTACAGACTGGGTAAGGGCTCACGTGGCAATGGCGACGACTATACCTGCGCACTCTGTGTGATATCTTCCCGTTGCTGTCTGTCTAGATGCCCAATAGCATCAGTGGCTTCTTTTTCACAAGGGTCATAAATGCCAGAACCATCTGAAGGCAGGAAACAAGGAAGATATGCAGAGGATTATCTTTTAGCATCTCGGAAGCGTGGTGCTGGGCTGAGGGAACCAAGTGCGTTACCCCCCGCGCCCCATCCACACCCAGCTCTGGAAAACACGCCGGGCTCAGTGACCCACTCGGCGACCAGCCCGTGAGAGAAATAAGCCACTTGTGTCTCAGAGCAAGGAGCTCGCATGGGAGTGGGTCACTACTGTCCCGGATCCGCCCGGAGTCACAGCTGCGGAGCCGGCACAGGGCTGGATATGATGGTGCAAGAGGGTAGTCACATGCTTCACCCCTGGGGGGACACGGGGCTGCTGCTACCCTAACCCACTCAGGGGACCCGCCGGGAAGTGGCCTCGGGGCCCCGGTCCCTGTCCTTTCCTTTCCCTGCCACCTGCAAAGCACAAGGCCCCAACCTGGCATGACGATGCCTGAAGCCAGGCACTCCAGCACCCTCCGCAGGGCCTCGCCGGCACCCATGGGTCTGTTGGCTGTGCCGATGGACTTCTCACAGAGAAGCTCGAGGGGCTGAAAGGGAAGAGGGACAGTTAGTCACCAAGTCCAGGAGGGAGCAGGCTGACTCTGAGGCAGTGTCACCCTGTGTGTGTGTGTATCAGAGTCAAGGCCCTCCAAGTTCACAAGCCAAAGACAGCACACCGGGAACGGGGCTCCACCAACTTTTCCGTACAGGGACTGGCCTCTTAGGCTGTAGGGGCCAAGAACGGAAGCTGTGTGCTTAGGTACTTAAAGTGAAGCATTTAGAAAGATAAAAACCAGGAGCGGGTGTGGGTATACTTAGAGCTGATTCATGCTGCGTACAGCAGAAGCCCACGCAACACTGTAAAGCAAGTATCCTCCAGTTAAAAAATAGTTAAAAAAAAAAGCCATTCTTCACAACAGACTATAGAAAGAGGCAACTGGCCAAAACAAGCCTGTGGGCCTCAGTCTGCTGACCCTTGTCTCAGAGCAGCTACAAAAGCTTCTACACAGAGAAGCTGTCCCAGTAAGTGCGCCGCTGGTCCCCACTCGGCTGAGCTGTGCACCCTCCTCTGGGTTCCTGGTCTGGCTCTCAGCCCCACCCAGGGTGTGGCACTCAGCAGGAGCTCAACAAGCAGCTGTGATGGGATGCATCGGCCACACCCCAACGGGCCACTAGAGCCCACTGATCAGCAACACAGTCCTGGGATCTGGGAAGTCTCTGCATACATGACCCGAGGTGCCTTACCCATCCTCTGAGGGGACCCCAGGTGGGCACTCGGGTGCACAGGTCCCTCAGGACCCGGATGACAATGACACACGACTTCAGCCCGTTGGCTCTGGCCTAGAGGAATAAAGCACAGGCTCTTTACACCGTGGCAGCTCCCTGCACACAAGGCAGACATGAAACACACAAGTCTCAGGGCGCTGCTTTGTCAAGGGTAAACGAAGGTGAGCGTGCATGACCAAGTGTGCGGTCGGCAGCGATTCCACCGAGTGGATGGTAATAACGTTATTACTCTTGGCACAAAGCAGCAGCTCCCCACCTACTCAGTCACAAGCCTCCTTGGGGGGGGTGTCAAATTTGTCTATGCGTGCTCCTTTAGCATCCGCACTCCAGCAGGTGCTAAGTTCAGCACGGCGCTCTTCAATGTTACCACAACTTTATGGTGAAAGTTAGCCAAGTTAAAACTTAGGAATTCTCTACCAAAAGACAAATAGAAGAACAAAATGCAAACCTGGAACCACTTGGCGTGTCGGAGGGACGCCAAGGCAGCAAGGCATTTCTGCCTGTCCAGAACGTCCGGGGGGTCGTTGACTGATAGCGTTTCTATTCATGGATGGAATAAGAAGACAAGGTACAGTTTGACCAAGGGGTTTCTGTCAGGTGGAAAGGGGATGTGGCAGCTTCCTAAAGGGCAGCTGAGGCTCCCAGAATCTCAAGTCCTCTCCACCCTTGACCAGGGAGGGAGATGCTCGAGCACATTAAACTCAGCCCCGAGAGGAGATTGTAAAAATCAGAGGCCCCCTCCAAAAAAAAAAAGAAAAAGAAAAAAAGAAAACAAAAAGAAAAACAAAAACAAAGTGGGAAGGTACTCTAAAATGAACAATCCCATGGGGAGGGGGACAGATAGGTGGACCCTATCTTCTAGTAGATGGTTACCTTGCTTCCTCTCCCCAGCATCTCCCAATAAATGAGCTATGCTAAAAAATTCATTAGCAAAAAGAAAAAACAAAAACCAAAACCGGAAAAAAAAAAAAAGGTGGGGGAGTAGAAATGCACTCCCTCACTGCCTCCCACAGGTCATCCCCTGAGGCAACTACGGCAAAGGGGACCACCTCCGCCCACCAGGCGGGACTGCCCCAGCCCCAGCCCTTGACAGAGTCAGTCCTGTTGGTCAAAGGTCCAGCGTCCCTGAATTGATAAACTAGAAGGGCTCTGGTGGTGAACCAGGTATCGGAACCAAAGGGCACCGAGGAACCTCAACAAGGGCGTGCGTAAGCCTGTGCTGCAGCAAAACCTGGGCGTTTGTCGTTGCCACCATCTGTGCGTCAGGGGTTTGGATAAGGCCGGTCACCCTGACTTTCAGTAATGACTGAAAACCATCCACCCAGAGATGCACAAGGGGCCCTGGGCGGACTCGGAATCGTGAGAGCATTAGCACTTTCCGAGGTTCCAGGATTTGTTCTGAAAATTGCTCCACTGTTAAAAAAAACTTTATCCAAAACTCTGCCCCAGCTCTCTGCATCTCGATCACGGCCACAGGTAACAGCAGCCAGTGGACGAAGACAAACAAAGAGGCCCTGGTTATACTGCAACACAAGCTGTCTGCACAAGTCCAATGTGATACTCATGCAGAAACCATCTGGTTGTCTTCCGTACTTTAAAGCCTATAGTCACTGGGGACACGCTTTTCCAAGGCCAGGGACTGGCTCAACCGAAAAAACACCTTTAATACCGATGAGAACATCCAAGGATTAAGACAGACAAAGACGGTGCAATCCTCTCGGAAAAGTACTACTCACTTTTAGTGCAACTGTTTTGTCAACCTCCCAGGACCGAAACCCAATGGGAGATGTGAGCTCAAGGAAAGGTGGTCAAAGCTATACCGCTAGCCTTTTATCAGAGCAATCTAAAACTTCATAGCACATTTTAACAGTGAGGGGATACCACAGTGCCAACGCCCTGCTGGCCTTTCTCAGCCTCCCTACCTCCAGCTAATACTTTCTCCATTTCTTCTCTGACAACAGGGGAGGTCAGGTGGATGGTCAGGGACAATGGAGGCTCTTTTGTGTTTTTTATCACAATCGCAGCGTCATCAACAGATTGCAGTATTTCATACTTGTCATCTGTGACCGCCTATAAAAGAAAACGCAACCGTCAAACACGTGTTTCCCAAGACCAGCAACAGTTCTCTTGAGCTCCTGATTACGACTGCAGGCCAACTTCTTGGGTTGTGACTGACAGCAGCGCCTTCCACTAGGGGTCAGAACGCCCTCTCACTGGACAGGTCTTTGGCCATCTTCCAGGTACTCCAGGAGGAGATGACTACTTAGCAGAGAGAGGAAGTTTTGTAATACAACGTTAAGAGTTTAGTGTCTGGGAGGAGGTGGTGGTGTGAAATCCTCTGTGTCACTTGGGAGTCACATAACTTTCGACAGATCACTCTATTTCATCAAGATTATGATTTCTGATTTGTAAAATGGACTTAGGGACACGACCGACACCCAAGGCAGCAAAGGAACTGAACTGGACACGGCACGGAAAGCATAGGACCCAGCACGGTGTGGGCAGCCGCCACCGCCGCTTCCACACACGGACGAGCCGCTGTCGCAGGGCACGGAACGAGAACTGCGTGGTGAAACAGCTTCATGTGGCGACTAAGGAAGCACGTACTTGCTGCAAATGCATGCTACATGCGTCTATAAAACGACATTCATGACTGTAACTTCTGCTTTCTTCTTTATACCATTTATATGCCCTGATCAAGAAAACTTGAGTATTTATGATTTTTGTCAAAGAAATAAAAAGTTTTGGGGAGAACAAAGGCACTGTAGAGGATCCAAGCTGACTTTCCTCCACCTCAGCATTGTTAGACGCGCCAGTCAGATCACTCACAGTGGCAGGGCCGTCCTGTGCACTGAAGGACCTCGGAAAGCCTCTCCAGCCTCTACCTACAGATGCCAGTAGTGCCGCACCTACTCTGCTGAGATAACTTAAACTACCTCTAAACTCACTCCATGTCCCCCTGGGTTCAAAATGTACCCCAGTCAAAAATCACTCATCTACATGATAAAAATATACTTTCTTGGGACTTCCCTGGTAGTAGAGACTCCACACTTTCAATGCAGGGGGCACAGGCTCGATCCTTGGTAGGAAAACTAAGATCCTGCATGCTGTGTGGTGTGGCCAAAAGAGAAAAACGGGGGTAAAAAAAAACAAACACCTTTCTTTATCTCTATAAACACTCTATGAAAATGGTCTTTCCTTTAGAAACATTTATGTCAACTTAATTTCCTACACTTAATATACTTTTTAATAGACAAAGATGGAAACCAACTTAAAAAATTACCACTAAAACAAAAGTTCAGGGCTGCCTTCCCTTTCAACAGTCCCCCGAAGCCTTTCCACACTGCATTAGCTGCTCATTTCAATTCTGACCTCTGTCCTGAACCCTGAGGGATCAGTCACATGTGACAGAACAAGATTTTACATGGGAAAATGAACAGTGTATCTACAGGATGAGTATTTCTACTTTCTTCTTTTCTTATCCTGTGGCTGCATCCAGGGTAGTGTCCCCAGGAGGCACTGAGGGGCAGCGACACACAGACATTCTGAAGCCCAGACACCTCACCAGCCGGGGACATGGGCTCAGTTACTGAGCTCCCCGCACCACAGGCAAATCTACTAGAGTACTTAAGATGATCAAGCCCCACCTCAAGTCATGATGAAATGATATGTGTGCAGAGCTCGTCTGGCCTAGGGCCTGGTTCAGTCAATGCTCAAGAAATGCCAGAAGTTACTATTTATATAGTACTTCTGTAGTGAGGCAAATAAATCGGTTAAAAACAACTTTTTTAAAGTCCAGGTCTGCATCAAGGAGGAATATCCTTTGCAGCCACCCACCCATCCATCCACTGCTGGAGTCTGGATGTGACGGTCATGCCCAATGCCACCGGGTACACAGTGGGCGCCCAGCCTGGTGCAGCTGCCGGGCAGCTACAGACACGTGAGAACAGCAGGGGCCAGGCCGGGTGTGGAACACGCCTCCCAGCGCACAGCACAGTTGGTCACGTCTGCCCCCGACCACCCTGCGTCCCCAGTGGAAGTGGGCACTCACAGTGAGCTGGATGGCCAGGTTGTCAGCCACCTTGTCCAGGAGGGCGGTTGTGGGCTTCTCCTTACACAGCAGCACCAGCTCCAAGTCCAAGTCCCCCTTGAGCAGAAGGCCCTTTGCCACGAGGCCAACACGCATCACTCCCCTCAGGGTTCTGGTCATGTGCTCTGTCTTCTGCTCCCTGAGAACAGCCCAACACAGGCCCAGTGAGGTGCAGGCTGGCCAGAACCCAGGGGCCCCGGAAAGGCTGGAGTTTCTCAGAAAAAGGAGAGGCTCAACCCTGCACTGGCCAGTCTCCCTAGAAATAAGAAAAACACCCTACAAAGCCAACCTACCCAGCCCCTTCTTTTCCCTCGTCTTCCGCGGGCACATCCACATTCTCAGACTCGGCATGGTCGCTGCTGCCTTTCTCCTGCTCATCGATCCAGTCCGACACAGCTTTGAGAGCCCGCTCTGTGTGGGACACCATGTTTTGGACTGCCTCCAGCTCCTCTTGTGTTGGGTAAACGGAAGAGTGCTTTGCCATCACATGGCGATCATCATTCACAAAAATTCGCACTGGACGCTGGAAATGTGAAAACTTAGTTAAAAACTATGTAAGGAGACCAAGCAGCTTGACACTTATCTGTTCAGTTGTACAGCTCACAATTACGCACATGAAAGTAAGACTATATGAACACATCTGAAGATCTGAGAAGGACAACCAAACATAACAGTGTGCTTTCTCTAACCCACGGGAAGAAGAGGGCACATTATACATTTCTCTATTACTAGAACTGTTACACTACTTCAAAGAGTCTAATGAAAAATGATTATAAAACCAAATGCTTTGGGGAGGCAAGACAGGTGAAGGCGATTGAGAGGTACAAATTACCACATATTAAATAAATTAAAAGGACAATAGGGAATGTAGCCAATATTTTATGATAACTTTATATGGAATATAACATACACAAATATGAAATGACTGTTCTACACCTGAAACTAATATACTGTAAGTCAGCTATACTTCAGGGAAAAAAAAAAGAAATGCTTTGGGGCAACACCACAAATATTTTTGTACGTGAATGAAGAAACAGTATCTATGATTAACAAAATAAATTTCTTACCATTTTTACTTCTCTTTATCTGTAGTGTCTGGAAATCAAATTTTTGCTTATCTTTTCAAATTGTGACAGATTTCCTTGGTGTTATCAATACTTCAACTATCTATAAGATCAGAAAATCTTTTTTAGTTTCATGTATTTCATCGGCGGAGGAGTCTGAGCAGTCAGATAATCCCGCAGGAGGAAAGCGGTGCTGCCTCAGGAAGGAGTCTGTTAACACAGCAGGACACATCTCTATTTCCAAGTAATCACTAACCCAAGGTACAAACAACTAATTATAAAACTCCCCAAAAATGAAAACAGCTGGTTTCTAGAAGCCACGTTTGACTTCAGGCCCACATTCAAGATGATTTTTACTTTTTAAAAAATATCCTTTCAACAATTTCTCCATATGAGGTATGCCAAGTTTTACAAATAAACCTATTACCAAGCCGCCCCCAATGGTATGGGTTAAAATGTTCAGCAAAATCTTGGTGTTTGGAGAAGGAAAAGAGAAGGAAGGAAGGAGCGAGCTCTGACCCTTGAGGGTCATGAAGACATGGAACAAGAGCAGGAAACAGAGGGCCCCAGATGGCTGCTGTGAACTGGCACGGCAAGAACCTTCTGAAGCACCAGGGGGACGTGGCCACCCCCAGGGTGCAGCTCTGGAGTGGTTGAGACAACTGAAAAGGACAACACAAGTCTCCAAGACAAATGTAGCTATAATTACAATTTTCGACTCTAAATAACATGCTGACTACAACCTACTCAATTCCCACTCTGTGCAAACAGTCTGGTCCACACTGAAATCTTCCAAATGAGTAAACAACCCAAAAAGCCCCATCAGCAGAGTAGGCAACAGATTGACTCCACCCATTCCCTCCAACCACATAACAGCTAGCCCCTTCCATCCACACCGGTTGTTACCAGCCAGCGCAGCAGGTTCATCTCAGAAAGGCATTCACTTCAAGGATAAACTCTGACAGGACTAGCCCCAAAGAGAATTTCCCATAATGCTTTAGGACTAGCTAACTATCTCATTGAAAACTTAGGGGCTGTCAACTAAAACCTAAGGATCTAAGGGTGGAATGAGAAGTGATACTCCTGCAGAGTCAGGCAAAAGGACATATGGGGTCCAATGCTTCCTGACAGGGGAGGGAGGGAAGGAAGAGGACCACAAGTCCCTGGGCTCAGCCTTGGCTGTGCCTGAGCCCTTGGTAAGCCACTCAGTAGTCACCAAGTGGGAGCTTTTGGCCACTACCTGTGTGGCCTTCAAGTTCCTTGGAGCTTCCTTCAACCTGCAACATGGAATCTACCCCTCTACCTCTTCAAGGGGAATGTAAAAATTAGATGAGTTGGCCTGTGGAAAGCATGGAGCACAAATCCCACAAACCCTAAAAAAAAAGCACTGACTTCTACTACAGACAAGAAGTACATCATCAGATTGTTGTGGGCTAATAATAAGCGCATGCAAAAGCACATCCTGCATAAGGAATGAATGACACTATGGCTGTGTTTGAAAAGAACATCTTTATCTCACATACACATTAAAGATAAACTTATGGCTTAAACTACACGCCTGGTTTTTGCTTGTTTTAAAATACTTCAGTGAGGGACTTCCCTGGTGATCCAGAAGGTAAAACCCCGCACTCCCAATGCAGGGGGCCTGTGTTCAATCGCTGGTCAGGAATCTAGATCCCACATGCCACAACTAAGAGTTCACATGCTGCAACTAAGACCCGGAGCAGTCAAATAAAAATAAATATTAAAAAAATAAAATAAAATTTAGGGGTGAGGTGGGGAGTGGAAAAGGGAACAGGACAAACCAACACTGGAAAATGTTAATACCTTTTGAAGATGGAGATGGGTAGAATGGGGATCACTGTGCGTGTCTGAAAATTTCCATAATAGTTCTTTTTTAAGTGCATAGCAAACTGAAGAATTCTTACAAAAGTGCAGCCATGGCAGGTAATCTAAAATGTAAACCAAATCTCAGAAAATAAATTATAAACCGACAAGAAGCAGGCCGTCGGAAATCACAACTGACTGGTGAGGAGCCCACGGTAAACAATCACCAGTCCTGGCCAAATCTACACTGAAACTTCATCAACTTGATAAAGAAGGATGATGTTTACCACTGTACTGACTTAGTCAGAAGTATTCTGTGTGCACCTTCCCCTGGACCAGGCCCTGAGCCAGAGGCTGGGACAGTGATGAACACAGTAGGCAAGTCCCCCATTCCTGTGGACCTGGCCACCCTAAAGGACAAATGCCTTCCCGCCAAATCCAACATGGTGCCAGAAGCCAACGCATCACCTCTCTATACTTACCACTTCTGCATCTTAGTCTTCCTCCACCACAGGTATCAGATACAGAGGCTTAAAAGTAACAGAGGGTTTAAACCAAGATTCCAGGGGCCAAAGATCTTTTTATTAAGGGCTTTGTAGGACTGATATTGCCTAAGATCTTCTAAAAGGAGCTTCCAGAAGTAGTTGATTCAGCACCTGATGCAGAACCATGGTGGGTGAGCCTGGGTCAAAATGCAGTATCAGAAAGCCAGGAAGAGACTTTCCTGGTGGTCCAGTGGTTAAGACTTCGCTTTCAAAGCAGGAGGCGCAGGTTTGATCCCTGGTAGGGGAACTAACATCCCACATCCTGTGTCGCATGGTCAAAAAATAAAGAGTTGGGGAAAAGAAAATAAAGGGAAGGAAGTGCTCAGTGATTACTGCTGGCACATCCAAAGGACAAAGGAGCTGACTTGTGAGGGCTCCCACTAGCTATATTTGAGGCAACCGAGTATCAAAAACAAAAAAAGGCCTGTATGAAATCCTCCAATGCAGCAGAAAAACCAAACTAATCTGCAATCGCCTCCATGGGATGGTGGCAGAGACACCTGGAAAGGGTGCCAGGAGCTTTCTGGGGTGGTGGTCACAGTCTGCACCTTGATAATATTGTGGGGGATATGCACTGACCAAAATCCACTGAATGGTATATGCAAGATCTGTGCATTTACCTCAAAAGAAAAAAAAGCCAAAAAACTTTAAATAAATACTGGACTCCAGTTAATATCTAGAAGAAAGACTACAACTTTCTGCTACCTTGAAAAGTATCATAAAAACAGATACTATTAACTCTAGGGCTTCCCAAGTGGTGCAGTAGTAAAGCGTCCACCTGCCAATGCAGGAGACAGAGTTGATCCCTCAGTTGGGGAGCTTCCCAACTGAGGGAATGGCAACCCACTCCAGTATCTTTGCCTGGAAATCCCACGGACAGAGGAGTCTGGTGGGCTATAGTCCACAGGGTAGCAAAGAGTTGGGCAGGACTGAGCAAATGTGCACACACACATCAGCTCTATTTCAATGAAAATAAAGTGGCTGAAAGACGAGAATAGAGAAGGAGAGAAGCGTGAAACACAGCTGAAGTCAACGGAGAACTCGGGCGTACAAACAGGCAAGCGCTGACTGTAAAACATTGTCACTTTTTCTGTATGTTTGAATCTTCTAAGAAAATGTTACAAGTATATGACTAAAACAGATTCAGCATGTGAACAGTACACATGAGTCCACAATGATACTTATTTGACACCACTGGAGACATCCACAGCCCAACTCCCTCATGCGAAGGGACCAAGGTTCACCTGAAGTTGATTCAGGGGATCTCTTCGAAAAATGCTATCTGATGAATTGAGACAGTCCGGAGAGAAAACCACCCTTGGACCACTGGAGAACAATACAGTCACTATGTAGAACATCAGCCCCCAAGGACATCTGGCCAACCCCGAATGCTCCTGTATTCAGCAAACATACTGCAGGGACGTTTCCACCCACTGTCTTCACTGCTCAAACTCAGAGCATGTCTGTGCCTCTGCTCCAGTAGCTGCCTCCCTTGAGAGGTAGGCCCAAGAAGGGACCCATAAAGAGACTCACTGGGTTGAGGCCGGCTGTGACCGCCACTCTTGGACCATCTGTGATCCTTTCATCCCCAGGCCTCCCCCTTTAGGCCAGTGCTTAGTGGCAATACCTCCTGATTCAGGGGGACAAAGTGACTAAGACGACCTATTCTGGACTACATTTAAAAACTGGAGGCGGGAATTCCCTGGTGGTCCAGTGATGAGGACTCTCTGCTTTTACCACTGAGGGCCTGAGTTCAAGGCATGGTCGGGGAACCAAGATCCCATAAACCACAAGGCGTAGGCAAAAATATTTAAATAAATAAAAATTAAAAAAACTGGAGTCAATGCTTTTTTGCTGAACAACAAAACGGGCCTCACGTCTCTGTGTGAACCCAGATCTGTCATCCAAATCAGCCTATCAGAAGCCAGCTGCTCTGGTCCTGAATATCAGAGAATCCATCTCTCCTTTTCAAAAGTGTGCTGTCAAGAAGACCACAACACCCACCCATAAGCAACACTCCACTGCCCCCTGACAATCTAAATTTAAAGACAGGCTTTGAACTGCTCTTGCCACCTCAGTCAGAATTCAAACCGGGTCCAAGTGAAGCCTGATTTTTACCAGCCCCCAGGTTCTCTGAAAAGAAATCCAAGAAAGGAATGAGCAAAGAGCAAACAATCAGGATCTTAAACTACCTGTGTGGTTTGGGATGTTCTAACACACAGCGATCAGGTTTCTTTCTTTTGTTCTCAAAAGCAGCCCACCCACAGCATGCAGAGTTACAGAGGTTTAAACCACAACCTGCAGTGAGATGACCATCTTTCTGACCTCTCACTAGTTGGGATATCCCAACCATGATGCTGGCAGTTGGGAAAGAAATGTGCCCAAGTCAGCATGTGTGGATCAACAAACGTTTGTAGAACTGAATGAACAGGTGTGGTGACAACACCCTAACGGGTATGGCCTCCATCTATCTTGCAGAGTAAACCGCACCCCCTCACCGCCATGCAGGGTATTTCACAAAACTAGAGTCCTGATCACTCTGGGGAGTGGTCTGGAACTAGATACTCCTCTTGAAAGTTAAGTTAGTTGCACAGTTGTGTCCTACTCTTTGTGATTCCATGAACTACAGCCTGTCCCACTCCTCTGTCCATGGAATTCTCCAGGCAAGAGTACTGGATCAGGCTGCCATTTCCTTCTCTAGATACTTCTCTTAAAGAGACCTAATTAGGTTTTGAAAGACACAGGACCCAACTCAACTGCTGGTTCCCGGACCTCTGGAGATACAATCCTACACTGGAAGTGAAATAATACACACATGCAACTCTTCAGTGACTCCTT